GCGGCACTGCCAGCCACAGGTTCGGGCTTTCGGCGAGTGCATGGCCCAGCGACGGCGTGCTGAGGAACCGCGCCGGGTGTCCAGCTCGCCCCAAGCCCACCCCTCGCCCACCGGGGACTGAAATCACAGGGGACCCCCACTCCTGGCACTGCTGGCCAGCCCACCATCAGCACCCCAGGAACGGGGCAGCTGCACCCTTTGACCCCTTTTTTGGTCTTATTTTTTATGCAAGTGGGTGGATGCACTGGTAAATCCATGCTATGTTGTTGGGAAATTAAATCTGGTGGCGTTTGTTGTCCTGGCTGAAGTGCTTGTCTGCATCTGCGCTGCCAGGGATAAATGGGAGCTTGGAGGGGATGGTTGTGGGGTGAGATGGGGATTTCCAGCCCAAAATGTCCCAAACTGGGAGCGTTCATGGCACCCAGGCTAGGTCTTGGCTCTGCAACAGCTCTGCCATGGATTTCCACTGTGTCCTTCCCTGTGCCATCCCGAGGCTTTTCCCAGCAGTAATAACCTCATGTCCCACAGGACAGGATTTTGGGGATAGAATTTATCTCCTGGGAAGGCCCAGGAACATTAGGGATGGGGGGAAAAAGGGGACTTTTACAGAGCAGGATGCTCCTCTGAACACCACCTCCTAGCAAACAAGGTATGGAAAAGAAAATAAAATTGCTTTTTGTAGGCTGGAAAGAGAAGGGCACCCGTGGCTTTTGCCAGGGGGAACTTTCCAGGCTGTTTCCCAGGAAGGTGGGTGCTGGGGGTGGAGGGGCTGGGTTTTGGTGCTGCCAACAAAAAAAAAAAAAAAGCACAGCCGGCACAGGACCATGAGCAACACCTGGGCAGCCCCAGTTTGGGGGAGAGTGATAATGAATGAGTGACTTTCCTCTCCTTTTAGAGAGCTGGTCTTTAGGAAGGGGGGAAAAAAAAACCCCAAACTAGTTTTTGGGCAGGAACGGAACCTCGTCTTAGCATCCATCAAAACCAAGGCTCAAATTTGGTTATAACATAGCTCCTAATAAGATGCTGTGATCAGGTGTCATCTCAGCTCCAGCCTAAATAAAAGCAGCTGCATCGCCTGATCTCAGAATTTGAAATAATAAGGATTGGAGCAAAAACCCCATGCCTGTCTGTGCACCCCCAAAAGCCGCAGCTCCTGCAGGCTCTGGGTTTTGCATGATGGTGATAAACAGCTCAGCAGCCCGGCCAAATGTGGGGCATCCTCGGTCCCCCATCCGCAGTCCTCAGAAAAGCAGCTGGTGCCATCCTAGGAAATTCTCCAAACCGCTTTGCACTTCTGAGATTTGTCCTTTCAAGGCACGAGTAATTTCTCCCTTTCTAAACAGCTGTTGTAAAAAGTAGATTGACTTCAGGGATCCAGGGGAAAGTTTATCCTTTATGGCTTGAAAGGCAAATCAGAAATTAAGGAGAAATTTTGCATACACTGCCTGACACACAGCTCCAACCTTCCTACTTCTGCCCTTTGAGGCTTTTTTCTGTTAAGCAGCTGCTTGGGGACGATCGTCCCCAACCCTCCCAGGGCTCTGAGGCTCCCTTCATGTTGACAAAGCTCTAATTTAAGCAGCTCTAAGAGAATAACGCGTTGCTCCAGCCTTCAGTTGAAGAAAGGAGCAGGACGGTCACTTCTACATCAATAGTCTCTGGGAGAGTTGCAGTACAGCATTATTAACCTGCAGAGATTTCTGCAGACTAAAATTTGCAGAAATCCTCATATACCAAGAGTAAAACATACAGGGGGGAAAAAAGAGAATTGAAAAAAAGCCACATTTCATTGTGGACTCCCTTCACTCCGTGTACAAATCAGACATAAACACATCTGTTTGTCTTTATTAACACAAGCTGACTGACAACAGTGGAAATGTCTTCCAATTAATCAAATTATCAGTACAGTGCCCACGAACTTGCCTTCTGGAGGCTTGAGCAGCCAGGGAGGAGAAGCCTCGCTCTCCCAGGGGTGGCTCTGAAATGGACGGAGCATTCTCCCTGATTTCAGTTCAACTGCGCTAGCAGCTCTTCAAGTTCTGGTCGAGACTTTAATCGGCTCTTGAAGTCAGCTTCTGAGTGCTGTAGAGGGAGAAAAACAAAAACAAAAACAAGAACAAGGAAATCAGAATACTCTCTTGAGTACTCCCAAAGAGAATCACTTAAGAGTGGAAAAACAAAAGACTTAAATGTCCACTGAACTCAGGGAGTGGGAAGCCCCAGCGGAAAGTCATGGCAAGCTACGATCCACGGGCAGCTCAACCTGGAAGCTGGCAGCAGAGCTCTAAGCCTCCTCACTTACATCCAGCTTCCAACAGGAGCAGCTGTTGGGGGTCAGGTACGGAGGGCAGAAAGCTTTGGGCAGCAAAGCGAACGTAGCAGCCGTGGACACGCTTGTGCTCTAAAATTCAGCCTTGTAGGCTCCTCCTCACCTGGCTAACTGCTTTTGGAAGAGTGAGCGGTGGCATTGTGCTCAAGAAGTCAACTGGACACCCCCAACGCTGCCACTGCCTATCACCGTAGCATCTACTTTCTTGAGACCTGCCACTTTCTCCAGAACTTTGCAAGAGCATCCCGAAGCCTTAATCTCTCTTCTACACTGCCAGTCATATGAAGCCAGTTTGGGTGTCTTCCCCAGGCTTCCTGCATCAGACTGCAATGACTTGGCAAATGGCACAATGTCACAGTTCTCCCTCCAGAGACAAAGCCATCAGCCAAAATTAAAAAAAAAAAGAAACAGCAGCCCTAAGGCAGAGATGGCACTGTGACCAAAGCAGAGAAGATTACTGGACTCAAGAGACCTTCTCCTGTATTCCTTCTGGCTTTGCAGAGCTGGAGATAACTAAACATTCCTCAAAGGCCACTGAAGCCACTTGTGTTTTCATATTTGAGCTTACTATATTGCCTTCCATTTCAAGGCACAAAAATATTTTGTCCCTGAATAAATAGGGCTTCCTGGGCCTGTTTTGTCTGAATGTTAAATATCTCCTTATGCCTAGTCCATCAGTGAGTGGAGTTCTGTCCTGAAGACCTCAGTGCTGAGAAAACTGATGGGCCTTTCTGCAGAAAACAAGCAGAACCCTTCCTAGAGCAAATTCCATCAAAACGGGGCACAGCATTTGAGTTTCCAGTTTCAGCTTTGCTACCAACTGCTCACTGAAGTTCCTGGTGATTCCTAGTTAGGAAGCGGTGGAGCACAGCTGAAGGAAAGCATTCCCCTTGAGTTGCAGGGAATCTACAGCAGCAAAGGAAAGCAGCTGGCAACCTGCCATCTCTTACACGTCTATAGGACTGGCTGGGAGGGTACCCTCTGTGGCACTAATTATAGGAGGCTAAATGTAAAATCATAGAATCACAGAAGGGTTTGGGTTGGGAGGAACCTTAAAGATCATCTAGTCCAAACCCCTGCCATAAGCAGGGACATCTTCAACCGCAGCAGGTTGCTCAGAGCCCTGTCCAACCTGACTTGGGATGTTTCCAGGGATGGGGCATTGACCACCTCTCTGGGCAACCTGGGCCAAGGTTTCACCTCCCTCACTGTCAAAAACTTCACAGAATCACAGAATCACTAACACTGGAAAGGACCATCAAGTCCAACCGTTAACCCAACGCCACCATGCCCCCCAAACCATGTCCCAAAGCACCACATCCACACGTTTTTTGAATACTTCCAGAGATGGTGACTCCAACAACATCCCTGGGCAGCCTGTTCCAATGCTTGACCACCCTCTCAGTGAAGAAATTTTTCCTAATATCCAACCTAAACCTCCCCTGGCGCAACTTGAGGCCATTTCCTCTCATCCTATCACTAGTTACTTGGGAGAAGAGACCAACACCCACCTTACCACAACCCCCTTTCAGGTAGTTGTAGAGAGCGATGAGGTCTCCCCTCAGCCTCCTCTTCTCCAGACTGAACACTCCCAGTTCCCTCAGCCGCTCCTCATCAGACTTGTGCTCTAGACCCCTCACCAGCTCTGTTGCCCTTCTCTGGACATGCTCCAGCACCTCAATGTCCTTGTTGTGAGGGGCCTAACACTGAACGCAGGATTCAAGGTGCGGCCTCACCAGTGCTGAGTACAGGGGCACAATCACTTCCCTAAGATCCCTAAGATTTCTTCCTTAGATCTAGCCTAAATCTCCCCTCTTTCAGCTTAAAACCATTACCCCTTGCCCTGCTAAGAAGTCTGTCCCCATCTTTCTTATCAGACCCGGCAGGCTGCAATAAGGTCTCCCCAGAGCCTTCTCTTCTCCAGGCTGAACGCCCCCAGCTCTCCTAGCCTGTCCTCACAGCAGAGCTGTCCCAGCCCTCAGTCGATCTTTGTGGCCCTCCTCCTCATATCCAGCTTTTCACCCACCAGCACCAAGTCCTTCTCCATGGGCCTGCTCTCCATCCCTTCACCCCCAGCCATGCTGATACCAGGGGTTGCCCTGACCCAGGTGCAGGACCCTGCCCTTGGCCTTGTTGAATCTCATGAGGTTCACCTGGGCCCATTCCATGACCTTGTCCAGGTCCCTCTGGATGGCATCCCGTCCCTCAGGCGTGTCAACTGCACCACTAAGCTTGGTGCCATCTGCAAACTGGCTGAGGGTGCCCTCGATCCCACTGTCTATGTCATTGATGAAGATATTAAAGCGTGCTGGTCCCAGTACGGACTCCTGAGGGACACCACAAAATAAAACACTCATCAAGAATTAGAGGTAATGGTCTCTGATAGACTGAGGGCCTGGTTCTGGAAGATCCTGGGTATCTGTCAGTGTGGAGCAGACAGTCTCAGGACCAGGTCTGTATTTTCAAAGCAAATCACATCAGACATCATATCTGCTTCCCAAATGCAAAGGCATTGATAAAATTAAACATACCTCTTTCACTAACAAATGGACCCCTTCGGGCTGATTACTCTGAATAATTTCCAGGAGTATCGGAGCAAATGTTGAACTCAAACCGCTGATCTGAAAGAAGAAATAAAAGCACTGCAGGAGTGGAACACCACATACAAAATGGACTCATTATATTAATGGCACAGGAAGAGAGTCCATTTCAGTTTGAGCCTGTGGCAGTCAACCACTTCTTTAGAGAAGCACTCTCTGCCTCACGCGCACACCTCTCGCACACAGCGTGGCCCAAAGCTCTCATTTCGGCTCTCCTCTATGAATACTGTGCTACCCATCCCTGCCTGCATGGTCTCCTGCATGTAAAGAGACTTAACCATGCATGAAGATCTTAATTTAGATGAGACTTTAATACAAAGGCTGCCATGGCAATCCTGCAAGTCCCAGCATTAACCACACATCTCCAACAGAAGTCATCTACCTCTAGGTTTAAAATGTAATTCAGCAGAGGCTTAGCACGTAGCAAGGGAACACACTATAAACTAGGAAAAAGTCACTTAGGAGAAATACCTATTTACCTCAATCAGTTGTACACTTTTGAAGCTGATACTAATAGTATTCTTGAATTTCATTGAGTTTGTCCAATCGGTCATCCTTAAGCATGAGTTTTCTACCCCTTGTATCAAGTATTCTGCATAAAATAGATAATAAATCCAGGAACCTTTCCTCTGCTTCTACTTTGTGAGTAACCTTTGGCAAAAAATCTAATTAGACTTCTTTGTGCTTCAATTTACGCCTTTCATTTGTTCAAGGGACTGAACTCCAATTGTTAAGGGGTTTTGAGAGCCTGAGATAGGATGTGCTGCATAGGAGCCACAGCGCTATCAGCAAACACCAGCTCATACCTGGACAACCCTCTGATGGGTAGTAAGGACCGCATCCAGCTGCATTTTAGAACCCTGCTCTTCCAAGAACAGCACTTCATTGGTTTTGGTGGGCATCGCGTAGCTGCAGGAACCACAGGTCAGTGCTTAGGACAGGGAGATTACATTTGCACTACTTTACAGGAATGAATCAACCTCCAGCAGCAGAGAATGTGGAAGGAGATTAACTTTTCATGAGAAATTAATTATGCAAACAATGTATCTTGCAAATCAAGCACTGGCAGAAGCCGGGTGTTTTACTGGAAAGCGATAAGGAGGAAGCTTGCAGCACTACTGCCAGCAAAAACCCATTTTAGCTACAAACACCAGCCTGAGAACTTTTCATTTCTTTATAGTTGAAGGAGAGCTTTAAAGCAACAGTTCTCACTTCTTTTGTAATAGGCTATCTATTCTCATCAGGAACAGAGCTAAAAACTCTGGTTTTGCTCCTTGCAACACTCAAAAGACTTTACTTTCACCTCTGTGAATTTAACAAGAGTACGATCAGGCACTGGATCAGATTCTGCTCTCCGGTTAGCGTTACTCCAGAGACCTCAGCCTCCCCATCTCCATTTGCACAGCATCAATAACAACAGGCTACATCCTACCGCCCATGTTTTACCCTACAAATTTTGCTCTTAAAGGGCAAATAATTTCTTTCTGTATATACTGAACTCTGTACACCAAGTTCAACCTCAGAGGGCACAAGTATGATATAAGGCAATAAGACTTTACACTGAAAGTGCTATCAATCATCCTCAGGCTGTGGGATTTCTCTGCGAATGCTTTCCAGCACATTGCTGCTGCCAGAAGTATAATTTCTTAGTGTCACCAGGTACCCTTCTCGGAACAAACACCTCTCAATCACAGTTGTGTCACTTTTTAGTGCGGTTTTGTGCAAAAGACATCACAGAAAGACTACAAGCAACTGATCTATGGGCACAAAGATTTCAGATCCACGGCTGACAGTTCAGCAAAGCGGATGACCATAAAGAAAACGATTTTTGATAGGTTTAATTGGCACGAGCAGGAACCAGTGTTTATACTCAGAGGTACAGTTAAAGAGACACATTTCAGAGAATCAACACTAACTGTTTTTACTTTCTTACAGCAACACAGTGCTTCTCCCAGTGATTACAGCTCCCTGGGTGCACTGCAGGCACCAAGGAGCTCTATCCCATTCCTCAGACTCATTAAAACCAGCAAAGCTGCTATCAGGGGTACACCTGATACAAATTTGAAGATCTAATGTGCAACTGAAGCATCCCCTACCACTAAAATGAAGTAGCAGGTAGCTCTCCCACAATCTTCAGGGGTTTCCCAAGCTCATTCTAGTTTGTATAATCAGTACCGCTTGTTTAGTGCACAATATATGCACAGAGCCCAGATGAAACACTATAAAGAAAAAGCAGCAGCAAAAGTCAGCAATATCTAAGCCTACATTCCCGGGCTCAGCACCCACAGGCTTAAGTTTTTTTCTCAAAGGACTGAAAAGTAACAGCTATTTTATTCCTTGAGAACTGTTCAGTCAGTGCCTGAACAACTCCATTTCAGCCTTCCTTATATGAATAAAGCATCCAAAACTGTACAGACACACAAAAAGAGAACACCAGGCAGATGACAGAATATTTGGATTTCCATGGGAGAATCTATCAGAGAGATTGCATCCTTGTCTGCAAGGTGTCATCATCTACAAGCCTCACATGGCCTAACGCAATCATGACAAACGCAGAGCCGTGTTCCTCATACCTTTCATTCACTCTAATAGACAGTCGGTTGCAGAGTTTATGCACATACTGAGCAAAATGCTCCACGAGACACATATCATAGGAAGTCATCTGGATGTTGACATCTCCATACTCATATTCGGTCCCAACATTTATCTCTTTCATCTGTACTTTATCCTTTTTCTTCTTTGGAGTCTGTATTTAAAATAAAATTTTTAAAAAAAGAAAGAAAAAATGGAAAGCATGTGTGGTTTGAACAAAGCTGAAAATAAAAATAATAAAAAAAAAACATATCTCTTGCCTACACAGGAGACCACGCTAGGGTACTCTCTTCTAACAAAGGTTTGCTGAACTGTGTTGAACATATCACAGCCCATCTGTGCTCACTTCCCCCGACTACAAAACTGGGATGACATTATCTTAACAGATGTTCTCAAGTTCAGTTCTTGGAGTGAGAGCAGTTCAGTTCTTGGATGGCAGCACCACAGAAGTCACACAGAAAATACGCAAATACCATGATCAATTTCTTCCAGAAGAAACCAAGGAGTAGAAAACTAACTACTTTTCCTTTCAGTTCCTGCCTTCAAGGCAGCTGTCTAGATGAATTATTGTTTCCTTCTTCCACAAAAATTGTCGTCTTTCCAAATTTCAGGGAAAGTAAAAAGTTTAAATGCAAGTAAGACGTGCTTACAATATTCTGCAATAATTTGAAGTTGGGGTGTTAAAATTCAGCATCGGGAAGAGATTCCTCCCTCCCCAAACTACTCATTAACTTAAACAAGAATGTACCGGACAAAAGAAAGTATTTATGCAGTGTTGTGAGTAGATACTTCAAGTGACATAACACTCTACCAAGAAAAGTAGCAGTAAACCATTACATTATTTCTAATATGATTCAGCAGCCACGGAATTAATAATATCAACATTTAAACCGGACTGTAAAAAGATGGATCACCTGAAAGCAAACACAGTAGGGGAGTTTTTATGCCTACCTCCTTTGGGAGCAGATATTTAAACCTCCCAATACCATGCGTAGGACGGGATTTGTAGTGTCTGTGGCAACTCACGAGCACATCACCTTAAAATCAAAGCACAGCAAACATGTTTCCAGCTGAATGGCCGACTGCCCTTCTTTTCACAAACATACACAGGCGCTTTGAGAGGCCAAAATCCACACTAGGGGCAAGAATTTGTCCTCAGTTCGTTGATAGAAGGCAAAGGCAAGATTTCAGCCAATCTCTGCCCCACGCAGGTAGCCTGTGCATCACAGCAAGCCTCTTACAATTCGCAGCTGGTTACGGTGAGCAACAAATAAGGAAGGAAGAGATTAAAAGTGACTCATTTCCCAGGTGAATTCTCAGGCACATGAACAAACAAACACAGACTTGCCAGCACCAGTGAATGGTGAGGACACCAATGAAATGTTACATCTGTCTCCTCTTACACGACAGCCGTGATCATAGTATGACGGATCTGAACCCCACTTAATTTTAAATCCAGTCCTGTTCAAATATTCATGTGCTAGGAAGCCAAATCAAAATAGCATCAGCTTTTATTTATACTTCCTTCTCCAGGGTAAAATGAAACTCTCAATAACGCTCATTTTAATAAACAAAGCTCAGAACAGCAGAGAGAAACTGAACACGAAGTATCCAAGCCACTCAGTTACACTTTGCCTCCACATCAAAATCAAATTCTATTTTAAATAGAAAAGCTCAATAAATGTTGAAGCAGGACCTCACAGGTGTGTAAGCCAGTAATACAGCAAATGGCATCTGGCTGGTGTCACTCTACAGTGTAACACCATGACTAGAAGTACCTGCTCAGCCAAGAACAGGGAAACAGAAGAAAAGGTTAGAAAAAAAAAGTATGCAAGTAGAAGAGCACCTGCTCAGGTTATTTAACCAGTCCAAAATTGGCTGAAAAATAGTTAAAAAGGAGACACAAACACTGAAATATGGAGTATTTATTCTGAGTAATTGAAGCGTTGCCTTGCATTGGATTACTAAGAGGCCTTACCTGCAGCACACAGACAGTTTTCTCTGGGTGTTGCTGCTCTGTAGGAAACAAGATAATCATTATAAGCTCTGATTTCACCCACCTATGGAAACACATCATCTCTTGCCAGTCTCCTTAAACAAAGGCTCACACCCCAAATACCTCAGACACAGACAGATCCCATTAGCAAACGCACTTTTCATCACATCCTACAGCCTTTCAGGTCCCAGACACCAGCTGGATGTCTTCCCTCCATAATTAAAAGCCTTTCTTTAGCAAAAAAATACTTTTTTTTGGTCATGTATGTTTTCTGACACTGTCAGTAGAAGTGACTGAGTGTTTTTAATCCCTTATACTGTGTTTTACTTCAGACCACTCACCTGCTCAGTGCAAACACCTGTTTTAGCAACGTTCCCTTCTTCAAGCACAGCACCTGCAATGAGCCACCACGGTCACAACGCAAACAGTACGGCAGATACTCGGTGAGTTTCCACCAGCACTTGCCACAATACAGCCATCAAAATAACACCCGAGACCCTCTAAACGTACTAATCATAGAATCATAGAATGGTTTGGGTTGGAAGGGACATTAAAGATCATCTAGTTCCATCCCCCTGCCATGAGCAGGGACATCTTCCACTAGAGCAGGTTGCTCAGAGGCCTGTCCAGCCTTGCCTTGAAGACTTCCAGAGATGGGGCACCCACAACCTCTCTGGGCAACCTGTGCCAGTGCCTCACCACCCTCATAGTGAAGAGCTTCTTCCTTATATCTAATCTAAACCTACCCTCTTCCAGTTTAAAGTCATTACCCCTTATTCTAATAAGGGGTATACAAGGTACCAATAAACCTCCCAGTCTCTCCACAGCCTCCAGCCACTGTCACTCCCCAGAATATTGCTGTAACACAGAGATGAAGCGGGAGGAAGATGATGACTGTGGTAACCTTTTCCTGCACTCCCTCGCTTTGCTTCAGGATCCAACAAGTTGGGGTAGGAGGCCCTCCTCCCCTCGCTTACAGATCATATTCATCCCCCTCACCATCCCACTGCCTCCAGGTTACAACAGCTGCATGTACAACCCTCGTGCTTGTTCCAGCTCCACATGGACGGAGAGAAACAACAGCTCACCCATCACCAAGGCAACACCAAGCAAAGAGCTTTGTTGTCACCACAACCCCAGCAGGCAGGAGCTGCATCATGTTAGCCAGGGTGGGAGCGAGAGGGAGTAATTACCAACGTCCCCAAAGAGAGTCGAGAGGGACAGGAAGGACGAGGGATCCCAGGCAGCAACAGGGCAGAGGGGCTATAATGGACCTCGTATCAATGAGGTGATCCCTGGGTGTCTGAGGAGGGGTAGAGGGATTCAGGTACAGCAGGGGAGGCGACAGGGCACTAACTCAGGGTCAGGCCTGTGTCCCCGCAGGGGACACACACCTACCCTCCAAACTAGTCCCAGGGCCGGGTCGGGCCTGTCCCCCCCAGACTCCCCATAGCAAGGCTAGGCCTGCCCCTCCTCTCTCCATCCCAGAACCAGGTCTGTCCCTCTCCTCCCCTCCCCGGGGACGGGTCTGTGTCCTTCCCCGGTAGGGGGGCCGTGCCCGGTGCCCCCAGCGCCG